TGAGCGGTCCCTGCTCCGGAAGCGAAGACAAAATGTGCACATATCTAGTCGCCAAAGACGCGACTGGAGACATCATGCGGGACGCATCCGAAGTCCATGAGGAAGCAGGCCCTGAAGATGCGAGAACAGGCGAGACGATGAAGACCCCCGGGGACCGCTGAGAATTCTCGCAGGCAATCGTTGAGTCCGTCAGAGCATCCAACCGACGCGGGTGATGTCGGCGAAAATCCCCAAAATCGGAGGGCTGCAACGCTGGGGGCGAAAAGACTCCTGCCGTGCAAGGAGGGCGGAGCCCACCCAAACCGACCTCCGGTGTAGACGACGAGTGATAGTTGCGCCCGCAAGCCCAAATGAGGAAAACACCCGCTTGATCGACACCATCAATGCAGTCGGGGCCGGTTTTGTCCGTGTCTTGTGCTGGTAAAGGCAACCGCGAAAGAAAATCCGCGTTGCCGTTTGCCGAACCTTTCCGATATTTCAGGGTGTAGGTGAAGTTGGACAGGAATTCGAGCCATCGTTGCACCCTAGCGTTGTGTTCCCCAACCTTGCCAATGCTCTCCAATGCTTTGTGGTCCGAATAGATGATGAACTTGGTCGACCACAGATATCCGCGAAGGCGTTTGATGGCCCAAACAATGCCACCAGCCTCCAGATTCAAAACGGTCCAGTTACGCTCCGCAGGAAGAGCAGCGCGGCTGATGTACACGATGGGTCTCACCGAGCCATCGAGCTGTTCTTGTTCCAAGGTGGCGCCAAAACCGTCGATACACGAGTCGGAACACAAACGGAGAGGACGGCTGTTGTCCTCGATTGCTGCCCAATCCGGGAAGACCAAAATCGGGGGGCGAGCGAGTTCGCTTAACAACGTTTTGACAACCTTGACCATGCCCGGGGCGTACTTGAAGGGGACGCCTTGTTTGAGAAGAGAGTTGAGAGGCCGCACCTTGGTGGCGAGATTCTTGAGGAATTTCCGGTAGTAACTGAGTCCACCGAGAAGGCTCCGAAGCTGCTTAACATTCGTCGGCGGCGGCATGTGCGTGAGCGCCCTAACCTTGACGCCATCAGGGCTAACACCTGCCGGAGCGATGGTGTGACCGAGAAAGTTGGCGTGCGTGGCGCCGACGCGACCCTCCCCTGGAGACAGTTTGAGGTTATACTGTCGCAGTCGTTTGAAGAACTCGATCAAGTTTAGCACGTGTCCCAGAGGTTCCTCATCGAAACAGATGACATCGTCCAGATAAGCAGCACACGCTCCAGACCGTGCACCACTCTGTTGATGACCTTGACGAACCAAGACGGACTTGCGTTGGCGCCCTGTGGCATCCGAAGCCATTCGAAAAACTGCGTGGGAGTGCAAAAGGCGGTGAGCGGGACAGTGTCTTCATCACAAACGATCTGGTGGAAAGCCGAGTTGAGGTCGAGGATGGAGAACACTTTCCCGGTGTACAGAGAATCCAAGATATCGTCCACTCGAGGGAGGGGTTGTCCATCCAAATCCACCAGAGCGTTGAGACGTTTGTAGTTGGCGGTGATGCGAACATATCCGTCCTGCTTGGGGATGACAACTAAAGGAGAAGCCAACGGAGATGTGAAATGTTGAATGAGCCCTGGCGCCAAATACTGGTCCAAAACGGCATCCACTTTCTTTTGCATCAACGGGTTGATACGATACGGGCGTGATGCAACGGGCTTCGTCCCTGCTGGGACAGAAAGCGTGAAGGGCATTATGTTGCAGGAACCAAAATCGGTTTCCGAAGTAGAGAACACGTCAGAATATTCCACAAGGGTGTCGGCCAAACGATCAACAGCCTCCGATGTCCATCCCGGATTGTGTAGTTCGAAAGCGATGTCGTGCATATGTGCGGGCAGCCTAGTCCACAACCGCATGAAGCTGGAGCGCTGTGCCTCAGAGAAGCGGTGTTGAAGTTCTTGTGGAGGCGGCTTCGGAGGAGGCGGGGCGGAGGCTGCGTCCGGAGAGCGGTGAGTCCCGGACTTGGGGCCAACGGCGTTGACCCGAGGTGGTGATGTAGATGTTGTGGGGCCGGTAGGAATCAAGATGGTGCCGCCTTCAGGGTTTCCACCGGTACTCGTAGTAGTGGCGCGGCAGACACTCCAATTACGTCTCCCGGCTCGAGCTCGGCACAACCTGCAAGGGGAATACGCTGGAGACCATTTGAAACGAACGCATCTGGAGAACACCTCAACGAGTGCAGGCTTCGGCCCCAAAGAAATTCCCGAGCTCCCTGCATATTTAAGGTGAAACGAGGAGGGAGGAGCGTCGTCGTGTGTAGCGTAAACGCAAGCGCCAGCTGTAAAACGCGGAGAGAGCGTGAGCTCGCCCATAACCCGGCCGTCCGGTCCAGGGTGGGGGAGGGTGGTGAACACGCGAGAGTTGAAGCGCATCCAGCTATCACGACCCAGAAGCACGGCGTGCCCCATAGCGGCGTCTGGAACAACACAGGCCCAGACCGCCAAGGAAGCGGTAGCTCTATCTCCATGGAGAAAATTAACGGTGAGACGAATCGACCGGGTGGTCACAAGGGCGGGTCCATCACCAAACCCACCCCAACGACGAGAGGGCGAAACACGAACGCTGCCAGCTGTCAGGGCTCCGGCAGCTATCATGGCGGTGACCACGGAGTCGGGAACGAAGGATGCAGGAGACCCAGAGTCCAGAAGCGCCACTCGCGCGAGTTGAGAAGTGGCTGTAGGTCCTCCATGCAGCAGGACCCGGGTGGTGTATGAGTCCGAGTCCAACAGGAGCGTGCCGCCGACCAGATCGGGTCCATGTTCGAGAAGAGGGAGCTGGTCTGCACAAGCGGAGGTCGATGCCACCAGATGAACGCCAGGAGCATGGTCCCCCGGAGCGTCCAAACGTAGACAAGCTGGGTCTTCGCCCGGGTCTTTCCCTAGCGAAGAACCTGTAGCGGTAGCAACCTCATGAATGCGTCGATGTCCATGGAGAGGAGGCTGCGAAATGGGGGGCGTGGGAGAATTGTTAGCGGGGAAATCTTCGCCAGGCAGGGGATGATCACGCAGAAGGCGTCGAAATTCCATCAAAGCTTTTCCCAACAACGTTTTACCGCTAGCCGCCCACATGGATGAAACGCTAACNAGGGCGTGGGAGAATTGGAAGCGGGGAAATCTTGGCCAGAGAGGGGATGATCACGCAAAAGGCGTCGAACTTCCGTCAAAGCTTTTCCCAACAAGTTTTTACCGCTAGCCTCCCACTTGGATGGATCGCTAGCATCTGGAAAGCATGCAGACATGCCGATACCCCAAACACGATCGAAGGGGCTGGCTTCTGCAAGGAGGCGGGTACCCGTCTCCAGTAGATGATGTTTCATGTCATGGTTTTGAG